TCAATAGTCACCATACATGAAGATGACGGGTCTGTAGACTATTGTTATGATTTAGCACTAATATGATATCTATCTTAAGGAATGTTAAGGAGGTTCCACTTCCTTGTATCTTGATGACTTCTTTGCTTATGACATTTCAAGAGCACTTTAGGATGGATCACTTTGTGGGGACGTTTGAGGGCCGAGTCCTGTCAACGACACTTTCCCTTCATCCTTTGTTCTGCTTCATGTATCTGTTGTGAATTGTGACTCTGCTGTGCCTCATTTAAAAAAAAAAATCACTGCACCTAATTACAAGCACATAACACACCTGAAGTTTTGATCCTGACTGAAAAATTTGTGGTGGGCTGTTGTGGTGGGGGCTGTGGGCTGACCATTCCTTTGGTCGGCTAATGGATATGAATAGTTGGCTGCTGTTTCCTCAGCGGGTCCTTGTTAAGGCTAATGTGGACTTCCAGGAGCCCTGGAGACAGGATAACGGTCTGATCAAGGCAGGGGTCATTTCGTAGAAAAAGAGGTGCACGAGCTCATTAGCATAACTTATTTGCATATGTCACACCCAGTGACATCACGGGAAGTGTGTCAGAAGGCAACACCCACCGCTCAGGCTCCACTGGACTGTTTTGGATTGCTAGCTATTGGGGGGGGGAGTGCAGATCTCACAGAGGAGGGAGAGCTTGTACCTGAATAAAACTTGGTCTTAAAGGTGCCACTGGACTGTTTTGGACCGGGGGGGGGGCTCTGCAACTTACCTGGCTGCTTCTTGCTTTGACTGAGGGCTGCTGGGAGCAGGGGGTGGGGCTTGTTGCCTGTGCCCGCCCCCTGGGCTCTTTACTGCCGGAGCTCCGCTCCTGTGCGCTCCTGCAGGAAATGACCCCTGGATCAAGGTATACTGGCAGATGTCTAGCAGATTATCTTGGCCTCTCATGAGGTGCCTGCTTGGGTGAGGGGAGGACTGCGGTTGCCTGGTGCCTACGGCTGCATTGCCTGCTCATGAACCTTGGGTTCCTGTAGCACTGGAGGGTCCCAGGACCCTTTGAGAAGTGTGTCTCCCGTGGATTCACAGATGTTAGGGAGGATGCAGGACCCGATGAGTGAATCCCCCACTGGGTCTTCTTCAACATCCTATAGCACGTATTGGGGTTTCCAGTACATCTGATGCCCTCTCTTCTGGTATCTGGGACTGGCTGTGAAAGTAATGGTAGTTCCCCCCCCCCTGCAGTCTCCAGTGATCACTGAATTCCCCTGCATGGCTGGAACAGAGGAATCCTGTGGCCAGTTTAGCCTCTGGGGATGTCCAAAAGAATGGTATATATGGGGTGTCCAGGAACAGTCTTGCGGAGTCCACAAAAGCCTGAAGTACCAGAGGTCATTTCGGGGGGGATCGCGGGGGATCGCAGTTCCCCTGGGTGAGGTGCGGGGGGCGGGGCACATGACGAAGCCCCGCCCCCTGCTTCCGGCCAACCCGCTTCCGGCCAT